TGGCGTGTCAATCTGAAGAATAGGGATAAGTTCGAGGCTGGTAATGCATGGCCATACATCCGGGAAGGGGCGATACTGTGGCAAGCAATGGCATCTTCCGTCTGAGGGGGTGCACCAGACGTCGAGTGTGGGGAACTTTTTGATTCGCGGGTCGAGAGCGCACCTCTTCTGGTCGAAGCTAAGAGGGCCGCGCGAAGCTTGAATAAATAAAGAGGGGGGGACAGAAGGAGAGCGGCCTCACGGCGAGGCCAGGAGGATGCAAAGCCTCGGGATCAGCCGGTGCCGAAAACGAGTGTGGAGAACACAGAGACACGAGTTTGTCATTGCCGGGGGCCTCACGCTCGAACATTATCTGCTCGGCTCGCATCTTGCAGAAAACGTCTCTCAAAACAATCGGGTTGATCGGCACCCGCGTCGAGGACGAACTGACTGCGGGGTCTCCAGAATATTCTAAACAAAAAAGCCACAATGCTGAGGAAGATTCGCCGTTACGGCGAGTGACACGGCGTCGAGGACAGCTTCCAAGACTATGGGAGGCACCTTAGGACGATTGACGTCGGCCGCATCGCATTGTACGCAGACGAAACAACCCGATAACATCGATTGCGACCGAATGACAGAGGCACGTCACAAGCCGCAGGATGACAATACCAACATGGACGAGCGACGGGCGATACACAACGGCCACGGGTAATTTCGGTGCGTCGTCAGATCCACGAGGATGGACCTCACAACACGACTGGCGGAGGGCAACTCTCGAAGCCACGATCCAGACAACCCCGTCGAGGACATCCTGGACTGCCAAGATTGCCACAGATGCCAAGGCACGCATGGTCAAGATCATGTTCAAGAATGTCGACTAGCAGCGGTGGTCGCAGTCGGCGACCCGATGTTCTTGAACGTGGGAAAGAACAATATGTCACGCCAGGCAAGAGTCGATGTCCGGATCGCTGAAATCGCGAATACAAACTTTGGGCGCGGTGACCTGGTAAAAGGTAATTCCTATGCTGTGGCGCTCGCAACGAATGAAGGGAGTGGTTCGTAGGCCATGGCAGCTTTCAAGGCGGTCGAGAGTGGAAATATAATCAAGGCGCACCTGGCGGAGATCCACTACAATCCACTCGACGACCTGCTCCAGAAGAGTGGCACGATTCCCAGCGGGCGCAGGCTCTTCATCTATACCGGCAAGAGAAAAGACAACGGCATAAACAGAAACTTCCGGCGCTCCGCGCGCATTTCTTGGATCGGCGCTGCACCCCCTCCTGGCGGGCGGAACGCGCCGGGGGCTCTGCGCGGGAAGCGCCGCCATGGGGGTCCAGCGAATCGAATCGAGGAGTCCAGCCTGCCTTCAAAATGGGTCCGCACCCAGCAGGCTTTGGCCGACGGCATACAGTCGGGGCCTTGACCTAAGGAACCCAAAATAAGGAACGAGGCCCCTTTGTTTCCATAAGTTTAACTTCGACTTCCGATCGAAAACATAAGGAAAACCTGAGGCAAGCTGCGAAGCACTTAAGGAACGCGGAGCCCCTCCCCAACGAAAAGGGTTCCTTCTTCAGGGCCCCGACTGTAGCGAAAAGCGGCGTCATGGCGGCAGGCCACCTGCAGCGTCCAGAACAGCGGCAGCAGCGCAGTCCCAGCGCGCACGAGAGCGCAAGGACGCTCGACGGGATGCCCGGAGAGCCTGCAGGCTCAAGGACAGGAGTGAAGGGGCCCCAGGACACACAAATAAATACACATAATACAATAGTTCCCCATACTTTCTCATATTTCCTGGGTGTTTGTCTTCCCCCCCACTTCCCCTATTTTCCAATATTTTCTGGGAATCGACGAGTAATTGTGTCTGTGTGTTTCTTTCCCTCCTGAAGGAGCTTCGCAACAACCTCCAACACAACTTCGAGAGAACTGCGGGAGGTAGCTCGGGAAACGTGTTGGGGACGGGTAAGACAAAGCTTCCAGGACACGCTGCGAAACAAAACAACCTGCTGCGGAGATGCCTGCCCAGGAGCCGTGGAAGCTGGCGTAGCCCTGCTTGCCGGCTTCTTCTCCAACAACCCCTTTCGCTCTTCAAGGAGCTATCCAGGAACATGCGCCACATGTTGCTGCAGGCTCACCCAAGACTTGAAGGCCGACGAGGCGGTGTCCGAGATGCCATATCAACAGATTTGCTTTTCACGCATGATGGCTAGAAGACGATGTCGGAGATGGGAGGGAGACCGAGGACCGGTACGTTTCTTGTAACGAGCCCTCGTCTGGTGAGGTATGAGCCCTGCTGGCCCAGCGCCCAGCAGAGGGGGCAGCCCAGTACCCTCAAGGGGGCCAAGTAGTCCAAAGGGGGTCAGGCCAAGTATCCAAAAGGGGGTCAGGCAAGGCAATTCACACATACTGCAACGCCGTTGTGGTTGACGATGGGTGTGGCGCCAAAGGTGGCACAGACGTGCCAACTACAGCTGCGCATGATGGCAGGTCGGACGGAGGACAAGGCCTGTCATCATACACGCGAGGGCATGGTCGACAAGCACGACCTTGGAGTAACGATTCGCCGACGGAGATTCCCCAACCTCGTGAAGAGGATGCTCTCTGCGTCTGTTCTGAACGACAGGTTTCTTAGGGGATGGCAAGACGACTTTGGCGAAGGGACATGAGCCGCCGCATGTCCTGGACAAACTGAAGGGGCCGAACGAGCCTGTGTGCGACGATACCTAGACAAACGCGTACGAAATGGCAGAAACATCTGCATGATGGATAGTGGCGTCGGCTCCGGAATCTTAGTGCAGTGGTGATGGATAGTGGCGTCGTCGGACTTAGCAATGCCGCTCTAATATTCCACGCAGGTCTGCAAGCAGACCAAGAACTGCATATCAACCGTTTCGAAATCTGACCACATGGTGCTGTTATGACCTGCTCCTGATATATAAAACCGCAGGCTGGCGAGCGTGGAACTGTTAAGCCGCTGAACCGAACTTGGTACGAATCGGCCTATATATGTATATGAATGAGCACATGTATAAACATATGTGTCAGCGCAGTGCAGCTCCTGACCGTACGAACGTGGACAAGCTGGCTCGCGTGATGCTGGGCGCTTTCGTCCCAGACGATGGGCGATCGTCCGAACACATCTCGCGACGTCCTTCAGCAGCCCAGGGCGAAATCCTGGAGGCTCTTCAGACCGCAGGCGGCGGCACGGCACAGACCACTGACACCGCGTCGCGATGCCACAGCCCTGGCTCTGATTCAGACCCTGGGCCACCCCTGGCTGGAGCGCGAGCGAGGGACGACCACCTTGAAGGGGACCCAGGACACACAAATAAATACACACAAATAAACATATTCCCTATATTTTCTCGTATTTTCTGGGTTTCTGTCTCCCCCCCCACTTCCCACATTTTCCCATATTTCTGGGTTATCGACGATCAATTGTGTCTGTGTGTTTTGTTACCTCCTGGCTGGAGCGCGAGCGAGGGACGACCACCTCACCCCCGAGAAGTTCGGAGTGCTCCGCTCGCTCCTGGCCGGAAGCCGAATCGGGATCGGAAGCGGATCGGATCGCCAGAGATGAAGAGGCTCCAGGACACACAAATAAATAGGCACAAATACAAATATTCCCCATATGTTCTTCCTATATTTTCTGGGTTTTCGTCTTCCCCCCCACTTCCCATATTTTCCCATATTTTCCTAGGGGTCGACGATTCATTGTGTCTGTGTGTTTTTTCCCCTCCTGAAGGGAGTCGTCCCGAATGGCATCGAGATCACATTGCGGCGCCCGGCGCTGCCTGGCCCCAGCCGGTCCCGGTGAATCGAGTCGAGTCGATTCGAATCGGGAACGCGGCCAGGTCGGCGAATCGCATCGCATCGCATCGCAACGCATGCGGCCCTGGTGGGCCCCCGACGCACGAGAAGCCTTCCATCCCAGGCGCCCCACTGGACAGGGCGATGGGGGTGGGAGGCGGGGGATCACCTGGCGTCTTCGGCGGAGAGTCTGGGACGGCCTCCGCCTCCCCACCCGCCCTGCCTCTTCCCTCTCCCTCATCGCTCCTCCCCCTCCCTCCAAGCTCCATCCCTCCTGCCCACCGCCTCCTGACTCCTCCCCCCCCCCCTACCCCCCCCCTCCCGCGCCCTCCCCTCCCCTCACCTCCCTCCTCACCCCCTGCCTGCGCTCAGGTCCTCCTCGGCAGCCCGGCTGCGGGGGGGATCAGAGCCCGAGCCCTCAAATCGGCACGCACGCCGCTGCGGTGCCACCTGGTGGCGGGCTGGCCTCGATCATGGGCTAAGAAGAGATACAGTGAACCCGTCTCGTAAGGACGCACGGGAAGGATGCAAGGACCTTGGAAGGCCAGTTCGAAGCTTTCCGAGCAGGGAGCGGCCAACGAAAGTGGCCAAGGATGGGCCGAGGAGGCAAGGATGCGAGGGTACCCTTGGGAATGTCGCACATCCTTACCATGCGGGTCGATCGTAGCCACAGCCGCTGGCAGGGAACCGCCCCCTGGCGCCCTCCCCAAGCCCGACCCCGACGCCCCAGCGGTGATCACAGCTGCGCGGCGCCCCACGTCGGGTGCCGCGCGCAGGTCGTCCCTGGCGGCTCGGGGTCGGCCCGTCGGCCCCTGCGGGGGGGCGCCGGGGGCGGTTCCCTCAGCCCAACGGTTGTGGCCGTCTCCTCTTTGCCCCCGACTCTTGTCCCCCGCCTGCTTCCCGGATGGGCAAGCCTGGGAAGGGGGGGAGAAGAGGACGCCAGGGCGCACAATCGTGCGATTGCACGCCGGCCTGTGCTCTTCCATGAAAGCCGTTCCAAACCGTCGCGGCCCGATTCGGGTTCTGGCATTCAGCCGTGTGGGGGTGGGGCGGTATTCGCCTGCCAGGCATCGATGGCGGAGGAAGAAGGGGAGGAGGAAGTGAGAAAGAGGAGGAGAACATCTCGGGATGCACCGGACGCTTCAGGAGCGGCGCGCGGTCCGATGGCATCATGAACTGAGATGTTCCTCGACGCGCATTTGCGGCCCGAGAAATCACTGGGCCTTGAGCACGGAGGAAGCCCAGCGGTAGTCTTCCGCAAAGACCTTTACGACCTTCTCGTAGATGGTGCGATTTCGAAAGAACTGCTTCACCAGATTCGTGGAGCCTGTCCCATGACCTGCTGTGCTTTTAGACGGGAACAGGTCGCGCGAAAGGTCCATTAGTGGGTCTGAGTCTGTCATGCCAGCATCACGCCTCAGCATGTTTACCACCTGCTGCTGGATATGTGCTGGGGAGCCGGACAGTTTGCCCACGAAGTCGTACTCCTCGATGCGTTTGCCGCCACAGAAGATGTGCTGCGGATCGTAGTGAGCGTTGTACTCGCCAAGCGCCTGAACTCTGGCCATGTACTTCGGGAGCAGCTCTACCACCATCTTCTCAAACATTTCCACCTTCTTGTCTAGGGGCAGGTCGGAGACACGAGGACCCAGGCAATCGATCCCCCCGTACTCCCAAGCATCGCACTTTGACAACCAAGCGGACAAGAACCGTTCTGCAGGGTCGCGCAGGAAGATCCCCATCTTCCAACCGTTTGCTTTGGAGATGTTGCTGAGCCCGTCCTTGAAATCCGCTGCCCCGCGATTCACCCCAGGCTCCTGGCACCGTTCCTTTCTTAGAGTCCCCTCGACTCGCCAACAGACGACCGAACAAGTCATAAACAAGCCAGGCTGCCAACTAGCAAACAACGTAGCCGATAACCTGCTAACCGCGCAGCCAGCCAGCCAACCAACCAGCGAAGAGTTACCACCCTGCCAACCCTTTGGCGGCCAAAGTTTGGCCAGTCAACCAAACCATGCAAACGAAGCAAACCAACCATGCATGCAGTCCCAAAAAGAGGGGTCGGCGGCAGAGGACGCAGCCTCTTCAGATACTGTTTGAAGTGGCGGCCCTCCGAGTTGGACTTCCAGAAAGGGATAGCGTCCGAACTCGACATTCCGTTTAAGGCGTTCACCAACCTGTTGAACTGCGTGCATGCGTTCTTCTCAATGTAGCAGAAAGCAAACTTCTTGTCGGGCACAATCAGCATCCGGTTCTCCCAGCGCGTCCCCTCGTGGGGGCCTTTGAAGGGCCACTCGCCGTCGCGAGGGGGAGGTGTCCACCTGACGCCCACGGGCGTGTCCCCATCCGCCGATGACTGCGGGTCATACGGGTCGAAGACGTAGAAGTCGTCGAAAGGCGCTTCGAACGGCTCGGACGGAGATGCCCTCAGAGAGGCCGCCGCAATCGCGTCCGCGTGCAACCCCGCGGTGGCCAGCACGGATGCCGCCCGCAGCAGCATCGCCAGTGGCGCGAAGGAAAGAGTGGTGGTAAAGTATATCCTGACTACCTACCAGACCACCCCAACCCAACCCGAAGACCCGAATTTCGGGTTGGGGGCGGTATGGGCTCCATATGTGTTTTTTCGATGTTCCCGGACCCCCCCACAATGGAAATGGAGGGCAAATTGAGGCCTTCGGGTTGGGTTGGGGTGATTTGGTGGGTGGTGATATTCGGGTAAGGACACAGCCGCTACGCAATGAGGCCTGGCGCCCCCTGAGCACACGTGCCCGTGGCCAGGGACGGCGCTGCGGGGGGGGAGGGAGGAGGAGGACACGGAGGCGGACAAGGTCGGGGAGGGGGGGGGGACTTGTAGAAATGCAAGGATTGATGTTACATGTCCGTTGGTTTGATTGCTTGTTTCTATACAAGTGGCACGTGTGTGCCCAGGCTCATACAACAAACTGAAGGGGCGTTTGAAGCAGGAGTGAAATGCAACATCGAAGTCGCACTCGAGCGCAAGTGGGGTTGCCACACCTTGCGATGTGTGTACCAGGACCCCCCAGGAAGCCTCAGGAGGCCCGACTTGGATACCAGAAGAGGCTCCAGGAGGCCCCAGGATTGTGAGTGTTGTGCGTGTGTGTGTGTGATGTATGCTTTGTGTGGTGCGTGATTTTGGTGTGTTGTTGTTGTTGTTGTTGTTGTTGTTGTTGTTGTTGTTGTTGTTGTTGTTGTTGTTGTTGTTGTTGTTGTTGTTGTTGTTGTGTGTGTGTGTGTGTGTTATGTTTGTCTAGCGTGTGATGTGTTGGGCGTGATTTGTGTCTCTGTGTGCATGTAGTTCTGAAGCCCTAGGAGGCCCCAGGAAGCCCCAGGCGGCCTCAGGAGGCCCCAGGAGACCCCAGGAGGCTTCAGGAGGCCCCAAGAGGCTCCAGGAGGCCGCAGGAGGCCCCAGGAGGTTCCAGGAGGCCCCCAGGAGGCTCCGAGGCGGGGTCTGGGGTGCCAGAAGGTTCAGAAAGCCCCAGGAGGCCCCAGGAGGTTCCAGGAGGCCCCCAGGAGGCTCCGAGGCGGGGTCTGGGGCTCGATTTTGGAAGGATTTTTCAAGCGAAACCGCCATTCCCTGAGAATCGGGGTCACAAGTATTGAAATTACCATGTGTTTTGAAGGTGTTATGTTAAAATGTTGAAATTCCCATGTGTTTTTGGACCCTGACGTCACGATCTGCGTGAGGGGTGCCACCGATTTTCAGAATTTCGAGGATGTCCCGAGCGAAACGCCCAGAAAAATCGCGGACGCGTGCGCATTAATCGCCTCTGAGCTCTACTCCCTCGGAGAGGTGCGTATGAGAATATATATATATATATATATATATATATATATATATATATACATATATATATATACCTATACGACCACCCTTCGGGTGATAAGGATGTTCGGGGGGGGAACCAACGTCTCTCTCAATCGGTCTCACTATCGATCTCAGTATCGATCTCACTATCGGTCTCGCTCGATCGATCTCACTTGATCGACCTCACTCGATCTATCTCATTCGATCGATCTCACAATTGATCTCACAATCGATCTCACAATCGATCACACAATCGATCTCACATTCGGTCTCAATATCGATCTCACTATCGATATCACAATCGCTTTCACAATCAACGTCATCATCATCATCATCACATCATCAACATCAACATCATCACCAACATCGTCATCATCATGAGGGCACAGTCATCATCATCATCATCATCATCATCATCATCATCAGCATCATCATCATCATAAACATCATCATCAACGTCAGCACCATCATCGGGACAACATCATCATCACCATCACCATCATAATCTCATCACCAACATCATCATCATCGGGGCACAGTCATCGTCATCATCATCAGCAGCATCATCATAATCATCATCATAATCGGGACACCATCATGATCAACATCGTTCTCATCATCAACATTATCATCAACATCGTCATCATCCCCGGGACACCATCATCATCATGATCATCGCATCATCATCAACAACATCATCATCATTGGGGCACCATCATCATCATGAGCAACATCATCATCAACATCGTCATTATCATTGTCATCATGATCGAGACACCATCAGCATCACCATCATCATCAACACCATCATCATCATCACCCGCATCGTCATCGGTACACCATAATCATCGACATCATCATCAACATCATTATCGCCAGGAAACCAGTTCCATCAACATCATCATCACCAACATCATCGGAATCATCATCATCATCATCATCATCATCATCATCATCATCATCATCATCATCATCATCATCATCATCGGGACACCATCATCGTCATCATCATCAACATAATCATCATGAGCATCATCATCCTCATCATCGGGACACTATCATCATCATCGACACCATCATCAACATCATCATCATCTTCATCGGGACACCATCATCATCATCTCATCATCATCATCATCATCATCATCATCATCATCATCATCATCATCATCATCATCATCATCATCATCATCATCATCATCATCGCGGGACACCGCGGGACACCGGCGGGACACCGCGGGACACCGCGGGACACCGCGGGACACCGCGGGACACCGGCGGGACACCGCGGGACACCGCGGCCACCGCGAAAGGGAATCATTTGGTCCGGCCGCGCCTCAGCCACACGGGACACCAGCGGGACACCGGCGGGACACCGCGGGGCCCCGGCCGCCCGGAAGGGAATCATTTGGTCCGGCCGCGCCTCAGCCACAGGAGACTTTCTCTCGCCCGCCCACGCAGCTTCGCCTCGCCCGCACGGCACGCACGAACACGAAACCGAAATCGATTTCCCGGTAGGGGGGCTCTCCGTTCCACTTCGATCTCACCCCCCAACCTCCGATATAACGCAGGGCAATCAGTGGAGCACCAGAGCGGCGAGGGCAGCGCAGGGACGAAGGAGGGAGGAGGACAGATGGGGAGAATGCACGAGGAGGAGGACGGACGAGGGCGCGACAGTGGCGGTGCTATTGCTGTGGAACGCGTTCCAAGGGGGCTCTGGCGCACCGAGGGAGAGACGGGAAGTTGATGCACGATTCCGTCAGCCCTCTCGAGCGCACGTGGCTTAATCCTGAAAAGGTCTTTAGAAGCCCCCACAGTAGGGGGTACCTGATGCTTTGTCCCGGCCGCCTTCTTGGAAAACTGGGGTCCCAAGGGTAACTAAACAGTTGTTCCGCGGCACCCGCCGCGCCAACAACGACGACGGCATCTATGACGACGACAGCTCATCCTCCTCCGCCTCCTCCTCCTCCTTAGGAAAGGTACGAGGCAGAGCGGGAGGAGGACGAGGAAGAGGAGGAGCAGAAGGAGGAGATTGAGGAGAAAGAGGAGGGGGAGAGGGGATGGAGAAGGAGAAGACAATGGATATGGAGGAGAAGGAGGAGAAGGAGAAAGAGCAGCAAGATGAAGAAGAGGGGCCAATTTTCGGACGAATCCCCTTTCACCGCCAATAGAATAGAGGGGACGGGAAACCAAAACATAGGACCCCTCTCGGTAAGAGCGCTTCTTCTCCCCACCCCCTTCTTCGCCTTCGGGGAAAGTTCGTTATCCTTGTTTCTGATAAGTACTTAGCCCCCCCCCCACCCGATCGGTGACGAACCCGGAACCATGCCACACCCCACCTCCCATTGCAAACTTCTACGTATGCAAATTTCAATTTGAACCAGAATCTGGATCATGCTCGGACGCTCCGTGATCACCTTGCATTCTGGTTTCTGGTGCCGACGGCGAGACCCGCATATCGCCTGCCGTGTGCAATGCCAACACCCCCGCCATCCCACGCAACGCATGAGAGAAGTGCCGAACTGGGGGCGGGTACCGCATGCGAACCCTGCCCCGGAAACCGTCGGTGGACCACCCTCTGGGACCACGGAACGTGTCAGAGGCGTGCCGATCCAGGGGCGGGTGCCGTATGCGAGTTATGCCACTGGGGCCGTCGACGGCGCTCCCTGGGGGACGATGAAGCGTTTTCGAAGCGAACATCCAACACCAAAGGATGCAAAGTGCACTTTGTACCAAAATCTGGATCATTCGCGGGCGCACCGCGATCACTTTACAGTGGTAGTTCATTGGGGCGGCGGGGCGGAAAGTACTGTCTGCTGTGCGCAATGCCAACAACCCCAGCCGTCTCTGCGGCAGAAACAGAATCAGTGCACTCTGCCAGGGACGGCGGGGGTAAAGGCCTCAGTGAGATGGCGC